TGGGGGTACAACTTTCCCACAACATTTGTGCCTCTTAAGTGTCTTCCCCCTCTTGTGAACACCAAAGTCTCACTATATAAGATAAACTTCACAAGTCGTGTAGAGGACAATTCCAGCATCCATCCTAAGAGTGTTTAAACAATGCCCCGTGGATGGAGAAACCAGCACCCGGCCTGTGTTGCTCTATACTACCCTCTGGTTTCCTTCAACGGCAATCAAGACAGACTTCACCTTTTACTTGTACAGTCAGCTGCTTCATCCACTGTCATGTCTGTTGCTTTCTGCCTCCACTAGGTGCTTTCTGCCTCCACTATGTGCTTTCTGCCTCCGCTAGGTACTAGCTATGTGGTGGAGGTACTAGATACTAGCAGTAGTGACTAGTAGAGGTTGAAAAGTTGGCAGGGAATTCTCCAGTGTCCTCTGGCCAAGAGACAAGGCTGCCAGAGTGGTGTATCCAGTACTGTGGCTGGTGTAGCATTTAGCACTGGTACTTACCATATCTATGGTAGGAAAGAGAGAAGTTGCAAACAAAAAGCAGCTAGCTTTTTACTGAGAAATTCTTGTTTAGCTTAGTCAAAGGAAGAAATGAGGACCTTAGAGGTTTCTGAGGTTAGGGGACCAGAGCTGAACATTTTGACAGGTAGGTGCAAGTTTGGGTAAAAAGAACAACACTGTCATGACACTGCTGTGCATGTACATTTGACAGAACTGTGAATCGTCACTGATATGAACCTACGGTGCCAGGGCCTCATAATACCTGGTAGGGTGCATAAGCAAATATTGGGTAGACTATCATGGGCATCTTAAGATTAAACACATAATCACACTCATGGAATATTTGTACAGTACTGTTGTAGGATCTAACTTAAGAAAACTCAAGAGCATTTAGAAACTGAAAGACATTTTACTTGACTTTCTAAGCAAGTAAACCATACCAATGAACACACACACACACTCTCAGCAGGGCCAAAATGTGTGTGTCCAAGCGGTCTGGCCAAGTTCACCAGAGGGTGACATGGAAGGCAAAGGTTGCCACTGTTGAGTTGTCAATATGCCTTCTGGGTTCCTCTTGAGCACCCAGGCCAACTCCTTCCAGGACAGGCCTCTAAGATCTTTTAGAAGACAAAAGTTGTGGTGTGATGTTTTGGCTCTGCATCTTATTTACTTAAGGCTTCATAAGTGTTAGGCAACGATGGGCATCTTTCATTTTCTTGTTTGGGATTATAACCCGTCATCCTCTTGGGATAACAGGAAGAGAAACAGCCCATAAGATGTACTGTATCTCCTCTGCTGTTGTTCTGTTGTCAGGCGCGTGTCTTCTGCCAGTGAGTCACCTTCTCTGTGGCACATCAGGGTGCAAGCAACACATTCCTCAGTGCTTACGAGAGTGATTGGTGTTAATCATGTCCTCGGCAATCAATGCACACCAGATCAATGCATACCATTCTTCTAACTCTTGTTTTGTCAATTCTCCTGGTGCTTTCACACATGTAACAGCTTCCAGGTAGTATGTCCAATGTGCTGGTTGTTACCTTCTACCTGCTAATGCTTACCAATCATGAGGGTAGGCAAATCACAAGTAGGGAGATGCTTAACTAGCTGTTGTCTGGTCTTGGCATCCTGAGCTGGGAAGGACAGTATCATCCTGATTTTAGGAATGACAGACTCTTCTGTAATCCCAGCCAGATAAATATAATTCCGTCACAATAAACTTAAACAACCTTGCTCGAGTGAAAAATCTGATAAGGAAAGTGCTGCTTATCTAGTTGTACATCTTCTAGTTTAAAGCCCCTCCATGAGGCTGGTATATCACCAGTATCTCTGATTAAACAGTTAATAGGGACTTTACCCATGTTAGAGTTGCACAGTCAAGCTTGATGAAACAATGAATTATTTTCACAACACCTTGCTATAGTTGTTCAGTGCAATCATTTTATACACAGTAGTGAAACTGAATCAACAAGAGCTTACATGTTTCTTAAGGTTTATTGCAAAATAACTGTAATATGGTGACCAGTGATTTCTCTCACCTCTCTTCCTGTTTCTTTGCTCAGGTGAATCCAGACGAATCCTGAACTTCTTGTACTTTTCTGATCTCTCTTAACTGTACGCTTGATTTTAAAGCATGTCTAACATTGAAATAGTTTGGTTTGTTTATGAACAGACTTGGGCAACTTCAGAAAACTTAATAAATTAATATTAATAATTCAAAATATTATTAAAATATTAACTTTTCAAATTTGGCATTTTCGTGCTCTTGGGCCTGTTTTTCAATGTATTGCAGAGAGTCTGACTTAGGGTCAAGGCAATCAGAGACCTTCAGGAAGCAGTAACAAGACCCACACAACAGAGTCCAGGGTGAGTTGCAGCAGTCAGGAACAGAGACCTACTCAGGCTAATGAAGAGTACTGGAATTAGTTATATCTCATAATTATTTTGGCTAAACGTAACTTTCCATGGCTTCATCCTGTTCCCATCTGTCTAATGTACCAATGCACAAAAATACAAGTCTCCAGGACCAATTACCCATTCTTTCTTCCAAGCGTTCATCTAGCAATCTTGAAAGAGGTTTCAGAAATAACTTTGTAAATAACACAGAAATTGCTGATAGTTACTAAACCAAGAAATCTACGTGTCCTCAAATGAGAAAAACTCTGAATCTACTCAGCAATGCCAGTGACTGCGGGAGATGTTTTTCAGGCTTGCTGTTAAGGATCAGAGAAACATGAAAAGGCAGTGCACCATATGACATGGCTTGATGAAACCCTGTCCTAGTTTAATCTCCGTACAATTCAGTTTCTAAATAGCACCGTAGGCCAGTAAATTGCTTAAAGCAAATACTAAAACAATCCTAGGATTACTTACAAAAGCACATCTTCATTTTAGGCATGTGCCTCTGCATAATCCTCAAGCAGGAATGACTCCGTAGCAGACGCACTCACCACCTCCCTGATGTGGACACAGCCCTGTGAGCTGACCATATGCTCCACACAAAGGCACATGAGCCTGCTGCTTCTTTTACATTGGCTGTGACGATAATAGAAAATTACAGGTCAGCAAATATGATGTGATTACTGTGTTTTGAATGGGATGTTTTAAGCCCTTCCTGCTTGGCACACTGTGCACAAGCAGATCATGAGTTGCTTTTCCTGAGAAAATCTGGAAGAAAGCTAAGTGGTTAAATGAGCAATACCCTCCAGATATGCAGGTGTATGGCTGAGTTTTTTTTCCTTTGCTCACCCCTGGAGAATAGAAAGGGAGCATTACTGTGCCATGAATACACTTGCTGGGATGGTGAAGACCTCATGCCAGGCTGTGAAGTCTGAGTGAAAGACTGAGCTGGTTTGGACCCCGACCCATGGGCTGCTGTCTGGGGCTAATCTTGCACCTATGTCATCACTGTGGACTTGCCTGATGAGTCTTAGTTGCACTTGGCCACCATCCTGCTCTGCTCCCTTGCTGGATGGAGGTTCTGGGACAGGGGCTGGTTGGGGAAACCTGGCTCTGCTGCCCAAAATATCCCCCTCATCTTTCTGCTCACCAGCTCCCAGGGAGCTGCCAGCCCTCACAATGCCTAGACATCCTTGTTCTGCCAAGAGAAAGCTCAAGCTGTAAAAACAACAGGCTTCAGATGGGCAAGGACTCCAATCCCTCCAAGATCAGCACAGCTTCCCAGTTAACTCAGTCCATTTATTGATCAAGGTAATCTGAGATGACAGAACATCACAATATTTATGCTTACAAGCACCTTGATTTTTTACTGTTCTCTTTCCTTCCCAAATGCACTAGTTCAACTACTGCTGAAACCTTAACACGTGGTAGTTGACAAGTACCAGTTCCATAGGGAGCAAGGCACTTCTAAAACCTGGTTTGGAAAGAACTTCATCAAAACACTCCATTGTGGGAATGAATTAAATAAATTCAATACAAGCATTGCTTCAGACAATTACAGAAGTGGCAGAAACATTCTAAACTGACTAGAAAGAAAATGCTGCAATTCTTATGAACCTTCAGAGTGAATAAATTAGTACTTTTTAACTAAAAATAATTAAGTTCTTACAAGCTGTTCAGAAGTCTGTTTGGGAAAAGCCTTGCCAAGCTTTGTATGTTTATTTACAAGGATTGAAGAGTCTTGCATTTGCATGGAGATCCACTGCAGTGCTGGAGGAATGCTGCTCTAGGACAGAGCCCTGCAGTAAATAACTACGCACACAGAAAAAGATGTCATTATAAATACAACAAGTGATTAGCTATCACTGGAGCTCCTTCCAGTACCTAAAGGGCACCTACATGAAAGCTGGAGAGGGATACTTTGTCGAGAAGTAATGGTATTAAACTAAATGAGAGTTGATTTAGATTAGATGGTATTAAACTAAAAGAGAGTTGACTTAGATCAGATACAAGGAAGAAATTCATTACTGTGAGGGTGGTGGGCACTGGAAGAAGCTACCCAGAAAAGCTGTGGATGCCCCATCCCTGGAAGTGTTGAAAGCCAGTTTGGATTGGGCTTTGGGCAACCTGGTCTGGTGGGAGGTATGATTACCTTGCCCAGTCCTGCTTTGTTCTAGCCTTAAGGATGGCGAGTGAATGTTTTTACAGTTGGTCTCCTTTGATCATTTCCGTAGACTCAGACAGAGCCTGCTACTGTTGTCCTGCAGGGATGTGCACAAGTGCCAGCAGCCACATCCCACCACCTCTAGACTCTTGGATGGAAGCATGTTGCTAGCACCCACAGCTTACCTTTGGGGAGGGCATTCCCACCCCTCCTCAACTTCCATCCTGCCCTCTGCCACCCACCTCTTCTCTCAGGGTGCGTGGATGCTAGGGGCATCGTGGGCAGCGGGCACCTGCCAGTGTTGCAAGCTACAGAAAGTTGTCCCTGAGCAGGGGGAGGACTGGACAAGCTGAAGTCCCTTGCTTGCATACAACAAGAGGTCTGTGCTCCTCCAGAGGTTTAAGGCAGTACAACCACACAGAGCCCAGTGGACCCTTTTTGCTTTATTATTATTTTTCATACATCTTTATGGGAAAAGTGCCTTATCCTTTGCCCTGCTTGCTTGTAGACATATTTTAAGAATATCATTGCACAAACAGGCAAATTCACCATTCCTCCCCTAATCAATACTGTATTATGAAGGGTAATCCAGAGGCTAAGAACAGAGTTAGACTCCCGACTCTTCTTCTCTCTCACACATAAAGAAAACCAAAACATTTTCTGAGACTCAGCAAAAAGTGACTTTTCCTGCTGGGTTTGTACCTTGGGACTATTACATGAAATGGTGCAAAATGGTCTTTCTCGGTACAGTTTATTGAAAACCCTGTTGTGTATATCAAGTTTGGTGTCACCTGAATCAGCAGTACTAGCTCTTTTTATTGCTAGCAGAAAGTTTTTAGCTCCTTCCGACTGTAAAGCAATGAACTGTGTGGTCCCATCTGAGCACTCTTGAAACACCAGCATGCACAACAGAGCCGAGCTGCTATCCTGTTGTTCGCAGCTGGGAACCCAGCCACAGGGAGGCCAGAGCCTACAGCAGCAGCCAAGAGCCAAGCTCCACAGAAATTGCTTGCTGCTGGAAACTCATGTGGGTGAGGCATCTGAGAGACTCAGAGTCGAAAGTCCATGCCTAACTTCTGCGAGGACCTCCATCTACTTAACCTAAATCCCATGTGATTCTCTGATCGTGGGATTGGCCTATTTTCCTCACTTGCCAGAGTAATGATAATCCCACAACAAGTGCAGCAGTTTAATGAACCTTTTCCCCCTCTTTTTTTCCTTATTTTTTTTTTCTTCAAATAAAAGAAGCCCCCAAAGACAAAGGAGAAATGAACAATTACTGCCACTTTTCCAACTCTAGGCATTCTTTTTCATCAGTTCAAGAATTTCTTTGTATACGTGTTCATATGCTTGCATACCCCAAAGGAAATCAAAGTGGACAAATTCGGGAATATACTTCTTGTACACCATGTTGGTTATACGAGGCAGTGTTATATTTACATCTTCAGGGGCTGAAATCCAGTCCTTGCCACCGTACCATGCAGCAAGTGGTGCTTTCATATTTTCCAGTTCATAGAAAGGAGGTGTGCTCTGGAAGATAAATAATATTACTTGAGAAAGAAAAGCCTGTGAAGTCACAGACAATTTGAAGATACAAAGTGTTCTTGATTGCTGCTTGGAATTTCTTGCCTATCTGGAGAAATGGCCCAGAAAATATCACTGCAGATCTCGACTATGTCTTGGACTCCCACGCATTTCACCAGACAGACGAAAAATCACCAATGAATGACATCACACAACTCTTCTTTATAAGACAGGTAGAATCCCATATGACAAGGTAAATTCCATAAATCCCATAACATTCAGTCTCAGTCACAGCAATATTTTCATTTCACAGCAATATTTTCATTTCACAGCAATATTTTCCTTCCTTCCTTCCTTCCTTCCTTCCTTCCTTCCTTCCTTCCCTTCCTTTCTTTCTTTTTCTTTCTTTCTTTCTTCTTTCTTTCTTCTTTCTTTCTTTCTTTCTTTCTTTCTTTCTTTCTTTCTTTCCTATTGACAAATGAGAATGAATTTCTCTTACCTGGTTATAATGAAGCACATTGTCGCTGCCATAATCATAAGATTTGAATTCCCCTGTTTGATAGAGCTAGAAGAGGAGAGCTATGTTTATTTTCCATGCATTGCATGAGACCATGAGAAAGATAAAAGCAGGTGAGGAAGGGTGGATAGATGATTTAACCCTGCATAGCTTCAAATATCAGTGAGAAGATATTTTTGACGGCATAGTCTATTAATAGCACTAAAGATAGACAAATCAAGCATGCTGATGCCCTAGAAATTACGTATTTCGTTTCTAAATGGTAATAAACTGATCGAAACTGAACAGAAATGCTTTAGGAAGGTTTTGCATTGAAGCACTGCATGTGCCATCATTTCAAATGTCAGCAGAGGACCAGAGTTCACATTCCTCTGGGATGGAAGCATGAGCTGTGTCCCAGTTTGTATTTTCCTGTCATGCTTCTGCTCTCACACAAGATGCTTTGTTTTCACTTAATTAGTCCGACCAACACTTGATATCAACAGGAATCAACAGTTGCAGAAGGAGGACATTCCACCAGCTCTGTGCAATAAGCTGCCTGCTCCTTGGAGGAGGTTCAGCAGCTGGCGCCCAGTGCTGGGGCTTGCTGCCAGCCATCAGAGGGAACAACTGCATGGTTGTGGTTGCCAGGAGACCCCACTGCTCCCTCCTGCCACCAGGGCTCAAGGATGCTGCTTGTTGTGTGTGATATTGTCATTCACAAGGAGAGCTCGACTCCTAGGAAGATTTCAGCATGGCCTGTAAGTTCCCTTGGCATTGCTCACGGTTTTCCTCTCTCCTCTCTTGGGTGACTGGTAAGCTGCAGAGCATAGATGCCTGGAGGCTGAAGCCCCAGAAACACACAGTGCACCTAACACACATCCAAGAGCTATCATCAAAAAAAGGCACATGTCATTAACTCTGGGCAAGTTTCCTTTGTCTGTCATGGTCCATGGCTACAACAGAAGTTGTGCATGTTTTCAATGATTAATTGTTTTGGACACTGGATCTATTGACCCTCATCTATTAGCCTTTACTCTAATATCTCTTGTTATGATTTATTACCAGTTTTTCCTTCCTTCTCCATCTCCTAGCAGCTCTAAAGTCTTCTAGTCATCTTTTGTTGAAAGTTGCAGCCAAAAGAACTGCATCTGCACAACTATTTCATGCCAAATTTCCCCCTTCTCTCATAGAGCTCTGCAGGGAAAGTAATGGAGGATTATACCTAAGTAATGAAAAGAGGTCCTTGGCAGCTTAGAGAGAAGAATATGGTTCCTGGTTGCATGCTACCTTATTCTATAGCAGGAAATATTACCTGGCGCCAATGTAACATGTTTTTTACGGATGTTGAATCAGGGTAGCGAGACAAGTAGACATCTACGCGGCTCTGGAAGAAACCATGGAGATATTTATTCTCTGCACTGGGGGAAATCCCATTAGAAATAAATTTAATCCTGTTCAGTAGCAATACAATGTCTTTGACTCACACAGGCTAGCTGGGGCTCTCATTTGCACAAACTGCTTTATCTTATCTCTTTGAAGTCAAGACTCAGCCCCATGTCATGCAAACCAACACTGCAGGCAGACAGCGGCATGAAGGGTGCTGTACAGATCCCTTCGGTAAGCCTGGCAGTTTTCATGGGATGCTGGGTCAGATTACGAGTCTATGCAGTTTTCAAAGTAAAACTGTATCTTGTGCTCAGGACCCTGTTGCAAAGACAATGTGCAACACATCACAGTAGTTCTACACATTATTTCTAAAGCATTCCCTCCGTGGAAAATTAAGCAATAACACCATCAATTTCTTTGAGAAATAGTGGCCTAGCTCTGACTCTATCCATGACCAACCTAGGTACCTCCATTGACCTGTCACTGATTTTACTTGCAGGAGACAATTGTGACAGGATCTGGCTCTGAGGAAATGGCCCTTCCCCACATGAAGCTGTGAGGGGTCTCCATCCTCAGGGACAGCCCCAGCCCACCTGGACACAGCAACAAGCAACCTGGGTTGCTGCAGTGCTGGCCCTGTTGGGCGCAGATTTGTCGGTGAATGAAAGATGCAAAAGGCAGGTGAAGGCAGCTAGCTGACGGTGCTGCTTTACTTGGCTTTGAAGCACTACATGTGTCAAGTCTTGGAGCATTTTAGGTGACTTAAGAGTCACAGGGTCCCAGAACATTTCACACAATCTCTGCGCTGGGGGGTCTGCTGTGCAGGTGGCCAGCTCCACTGCCTGCCCCACTTCAGACAGCCAGTGAAAACAGGATACTGTGCTTTCCTTGACATTGTTTGCACAGTCAAATCAGGCTTAAACAGTCAGAAACTGGATCACTTAACAAGTAATCAGTAGCATACATACCACATTTAAGCTGTCGGTAAACCCACCAGGCAAGTAAAGGACCAAAGAGCAAAAGCTTTTAAAGAATGTGTAGCCGCACAGACGGGAAGTCACTTGCTGCAAAATCTCGCCCTTATCGAAGACCAGTATGTGTCCTAAAATGAACTACAAAATGCAGAAGCATCAGTCAGCATGGTTCACAATGCTTCAGCAGCACGCAGAGGAGAGCTCACAAAGCCAGAACAACCCTCAGGAGATGTTGGCTACCAAAGATGGGGACCAGGGCTCTTACATTGTGTGGCTGATGCTGCACTCTGTGTGGCCATGTAGGTCAGGAAAATGGGGAGCAAGGCTCTGTCTACTGGGACATCTACAACCACCTGAACTTGCTGTGCATCTGCCCTGGATTGGCAGCTGCAAGCACGCTGTACCACTAGGATGTGACATGGAGGTGGCTGTCAGCAGTGAATCCCTACACCCCCAAGCCTGCTGTGTGAGCTTGGCAGGAGGTGAGTCAGCAGCTCCATCCCTGCCCTTTGGAAGGGCTCACACTCCTATTTCTCTTCCAGATGTTCCACCAGCAATCTGCTCACCCCTGGAAGTTGCTGTCTGCATTCCCACAACTTTGCTGTGCTTTGTAATTCGGCCTTTTCCAAAAAGATCAGGGCCCTGGAAGAGCCAGGATCTTTCCTAGAAGAAGTTTCTTCTAGAAGGAAGGACTCAGAAACAATATCTAGAAATAACTCTTATCTGGTTAGGACTGGACAGCATGATGCTTTACATGGTTTAATGCTCCCCAGGTTCAATACTATAATTACAAATGTACCCTGCTAAACGCAAAAGGCACACAGAGAACAGGGAAATGAAAGCGACTTTCACCTTCCCCTCTCAATTCATGTGTTTCAGGGCAAACATTCCTTTTGGTAGGACCTTTCTCAAGTGCTAAATCAAGGACTGACCAACAGGAAAACCAGGAGAGTGTGTGGCGAGAACCTACCTTAACCAGACTCTCAGGAAGGTCAAACACTCTGACCAAGGGTGACTTCATGTTTGAGCTCGTGGTGATAGGAGCCAATGCGAAAAACATCTTGATTTTGCGATCCAACTCAGGAATGGAAGAAAATGCGATGAAACCTGCGGGAGTGAGAAGGAATCAGACCCTGCCCTGCTATTTATGTGTGAGTTTTGGCTCCCTGATGCATGTGTCCATTGGAAGAGTCCCTAGAAAGTGCTCTAACATGCAAGAACAAGTGCATGTTGGTGACCTGACCTGGACCTTTTGCTGCTGATGCATTTCAGCTCCTAGCTTGAATGTAGAGTCCAGCTGCAGCTCCCACAAGCCCTTCTTCAGGCTCTGGCAACAGCAGGATTAATCAAAAACCAATGCTGCAACAGTTTTTGGACCACCACTGCTCAAATATAATATAAACCTATACACAAATATAATATAAACTTATACACGAGGTGCACAGCCAACCTAATCCTGATGCCGTCATAAGTACCTGTGGTGGTGCCTTGAGAGTAAGCCACATAGTATAACTGCTCCTGTCCAGTTTTCCGCAAAATGTAGTTGATTGTTGCTGGAAGGTCATACATGGCCATTTCATGAAAGCTGCAACAGAGATGGGCATGTAACTAAACTATTAGCATGATGAGAGTAATAGGCATGCCATGACAAGTTTTTCCATGTAGTATTCCCACCAGCACATACGCAGGATCTGTACTGCCACCTCTGAGTGGCAAAGTTTATTTGCTATTTGTCCCCATAAAAGATTACTACATTTGCTCTGGAATGTGCCATCTGCTCCTATCACCCGGAGGAGCCCCAGCTGTATGAACACTTTTGAGAATTGATTTGTTTCCAGCAAAGGCTAAATTAGGGAAAGACTATTTGGGTAGGGCTATTTTTGCTAGGTCTCTAGCAGATACGGGCACCCCGGTCGTGTCTTGGTGGTGAAAGTAAACTTTATGCCCAAGGGCAGCTTATGCAATTGCGCTGGTGGAGCCACTTCTCCAGCCTAAGGAAACTGCAGGGCCAGGGCTAGGAGCCCAACACAGTACCAGATACCTGCTTACTCTTCTGAAAACACTCCTGGGCAGATCTAATGGCATTTCTGTAGCTTCATTGAAAATACCTGTAAGCTGAGTATTTCTCGTTGTGATATTCAAACTCTTTGTGTTTGCGTGACCAGCTGTTCCCCCTGCTGTTTCCTATCCAGACATCATAGCCAGCATCTGCGAGGATGAAGCCCAGGCTGCTGTTGGGCAGGTTAGTAACCCAGTTACTGCCCTCCAACACCAGGCCATGCTGCAGGAGCACTGCAGGCTTTGGAGCTGAAGAAAGAAGAAAAGGGTCATTTTCTCCAACATAACTTTCTATTCACACTTCCGATACTGCTTTGTCAGCGCCCCACAGCAGAATTGACTACAGTGTAGGGAGAATAATTTGCCTGTGACCTTCAGCCTCTTTGGTGATGTGTTTTTGGTGAACGTGTCAGCTCTTTGGTAATCCCAGGCCAGAGAAAACTGATAAAATGAAGCTGAAAAAAAAAAAGGTGGGACTCCACACTGAATGCAGCATGGTAAATTACGGCCCCAGGAAGAAGGAAACCATGCCCCATGTCTGTCTGGACACTGAATGTGCCCATTGTATGGAGACCACCCTCCTCCTTGTGCCTTTTGTTTGGCTCAGTGTAGTCTAGGCTTTGTGTCTATCTCTCACAGCACAGCCCCATCACAAGAGACACAGGTACTTGAGATGGCCAGAAGCATCTCCTCCACCCATTTCTGCCCACTTCAATCTATATGGGCAAATTCCAACACCCCAGAAAAAAAAATATATATGTGTTTTTTGACACAGCACCAAAAAGCCTGAACTGCCATAGGAAGAGAGTAGAAGAGAGCATAGAAAGATTCGATTTGGAAAGGACTGCTCCAATTCCCTGGTCAAAGCAGGTCCAAATTCACAGCCACAATAGGTCATCATAGGGATATATGAATTCAAACAGGAGGTCTACCACAGGCTGCAGCATGAAATGGTTCATATAAAAGTCCTCCTCTCCTCTCCTCTCCTCTCCTCTCCTCTCCTCTCCTCTCCTCTCCTCTCCTCTCCTCTCTCCTCTCCTCTCCTCTCCTCTCCTCTCCTCTCCTCTCCTCTCCTCTCCTCTCCTCTCCTCTCCTCTCCTCTCCTCTCCTCTCCTCTCCTCTCCTCTCCTCTCCTCTCCTCTCCTCTCCTCTCCTCTCCTCTACTCTCCTCTCCTCTCCTCTCCTCTCCTCTCCTCTCCTCTCCTCTCCTCCCTCCTCTCCTCTCCTCTCCTCTCCTCTCCTCTCCTCTCCTCTCCTCTCCTCTCCTCTCCTCTCCTCTCCTCTCCTCTCCTCTCTCCTTTTTCTTTGTCTTCTCTTTGTTATGTTATTTTCCAGACCCTCACTGTAAGATGACAAAGTAACCCTACACTCAATTACACTGACTTACACTCATCTGCCATGTTCATATGTCAGTCCTCCCATTTCCCAGGAGATTGACACCCTGCCCAGAGTGGGGCATCATCCTTTCCCTTTGAAACAATACCTCAAGTCAGGAGCAGAAAGCAGTCAAAATGGAGAGATGGCATTGGACTGGACACATGGTTTATTTTTGGTAATAAATGGCTCTACAAAGAATATCTTTACCAGGTTCATGGGTCCATATTCCAGCTTCCCTTGTCATGGGTTTGCCTGGCTTTGGACTGGAGTAAAGTCTGGGGACAGATTTCTTTGCCTCATTCATTTTCCTTATCTTTCCCCTCCTCTTTTGGGTAGATCCTCCTGGAACAACAGGGTTGGCACGGTGGGCACCTGCATTTCTTCTGCTCCCAAGACTAATTCGACAGGGAAGGATGCCTATCTGAGGACCCACCCATGTTGAGGCAGACATTCCCATACCTTCCTCCAGCCCAGCAAAGTTTTCGGGGCCCCAGGACCCAGAAGACCTTCTTGTGGCACTTACAGACACAAAACATGCTGGAACCTTGTGTCTCTGCATCATGGGAGGTGCTTGAACTCCCCGAGTTGTCTCTACCATGAGGAATCCTCTGTATGGTGAGGTAATAACCATCATCTGTCACAATTTCATGCTCTTCATAGGGGTACCCGTGGTAGCGAACGATTTCACCCTGCAGGACAGGAGGGATGACATGGGGCAGGGCTGAAGGGAAGTGGGGATTCTCCATACTGGAAAGATGCCACACCAAGCTCCGGCCACCCTGTCCCAGATCTGGTTACTCCTGCTGTCAGCAGGAGGGTGGTATAGGGACCTCCCTAGGTCCCCTCACCAATGCTGTGGAGATACCATGACTTCAGCTAACAGTTTTGGCAGGTATGAGTTTCTCTCACTCAGGTCTAGTAAAGAAAGGCCCAGGGCTGATTTTTATTTTGCAATCAATGGCTATTAAGAGCTAGGCAGCAATGAGAGTTAAGCTCCAAGCCTGAGACAGCTGCCTGGATCAAACCAGTTGACCCAGACCAGACTGCCCATAAATGCCAGCTGTAAATCTGTGTGTATATATACACGGGTAGACAAAAAGTCTAATAATCCTCTGACACCAAACTCTGGTAAAAATACACATGCAGAGACCATGGGTCCTATCTAGACTGTGACAGTATATACCTTACATATCCAAGATTTGAGCTGGCACATCAGGAAAAGAGCAGAGAGAAGGCAGGACTTACAACATCCATGAACACCTCGGGGCTTGCATTGCACTTTTCAGTGCTGCAGATCAAACAAGCAATGGTGAAGAACAGCCACATCATGGTTCTCTGCAAAACAGTGTCAATATAAGGAGAGTAAGAGACATTGATCTTGCTGGCACAGGAGACAGGAATGGCATTTGACATGTGCTATACTTTTATTAGTAGATTAATCTGACCACCCAACAGGTGAAACAATTTTAAAGTTGAAATCATCCAATTTGTTTTAAGAAATGCTCATTTTGCTTATCTTGTACAATGTCAGGGTCCAAACTCCATCACATTTTAATCACAAGTTCTCCGTCAGAGCCTTGTATTTTGAAAAAGTATTTACATGCACATACACGTATACATCTGTACCCACCTAAGCATTCCTGGTCTTTGAGGAGAGGATTACAGACTATTCATTTTAAATGATGTTTCAGATAGTCAGAATAATATATTATTTGTTTAAACTAGCCGAACTAGTCAGAAGTAAATCACTCGGTTTTAAATTTTAGGCTAATCAAGGTTTTGTTTATAACACTTTTGGTTGGGCTCTCTTTATGGCTGGAGGTAAGACTGTAGAAACCTTAGGACACTTTGGATTTGTTTGCAAACCAGCATGATGTACTGTCCCAGGAGACCTGCTCTTCTCCCTGACAGCACAAATGCTGTACCAAGACTTCACGCATTTTAAGGAGCCCACATGGGGGTCCCACTGCTCCTTCATGTGCATGGCTTTCACAGCACAGGCATCGAGTCTGCATGGTCAGTGCCGGAAAAGACCTCAGATCATGCTGTGGTCACACTGAGGCAGCATGGAGACCAGCTGACAGCCCAGTCAAAGGCCCACTGCAATCCACCCCACTGCCTCCCTGCAAAATATCTTGCTGGCCAAGGAAAGGAGGAGAGCGAGCAGGTTTCCATCATCTCTAACTGGCTTTCCTTGCTGCAGGAGGTGGTTGCACAGTGGGGAAGAAGGCCACCTACTCCCTTTGCTGTCACTGGAGCAGATGTGGGCAGGATCACACCAGCACTGCTGCACTGGTGGAGGGGGCATTTGGAGGTCTTTTGCCCATGTCCTACTCACAGCAGGGCTATCACCAGCACTGGGTCCTGGTGGTTGTGGCATGGCCCAGCCAATGGAGACCCCCCCACCTCCCCAGGAACCTCCCTGCTCTCGGGGAGAAGGGTTCCCTGCACCTGGGGTTGCCAGGCATCTCATTGCCTGTGGCAGCTGGGGTCAGCCACAGGCAGCTGCAGGGCCTTTCTCACCATGCTCATAAGGAAGGCAGGGCCACCAGGACCAGCAGGCAGAGGAGGGAGGCTCAGCAGGGCAGTGGCTGTGTGTGCTCCTGATGGCTCCACTCCCCAAGATGCCTGGGTCTGTCTTGTTGCTTTGTATTGAAAAGCAAAGCAAGGGGAGACAGAAAGAGGCAGAAAGCATTTTTCACGGTGCAACGTCACGGGAATAGCATGTAATTTCAAGGGAAGAGCCTAGCTCAGGATGAACCTTTCCTTGCAACAGCCAACCAGGAAAAATATCCTCTTTGTGACTGGTAGCTCAGCAGCAGAGAGAAACCTCTTGCACCAGCAGCACGTTCCTGACTTCTGAGCATCCCCACCATCCCTCCCTTGAGCAGAAAACAACTGTTCTGTTGTCCCCCCCATCCGCGGGACCCTTCAGCTCACTGCACCTCTCTCCTGACGCCCACACGGATGCAGTTCAAGCGCAGAAGGAGAAAGGGTTACCCGTCAGCTTGTCTGCCGCAGCAGGGCAGGTGCCTTTCTCCCAGGATCTGCTGAGCAGGAGGGAGCGGAGCGTGCTTTCTGTGCTGCACTCTCCCCACACACACCGGGCTGTTATCCCTCTCCTCCGTGCACCTGGCAGTGACGCAAGTTGCCACTCCCCCTAATCCCTTCTCCCACTAATGTGCAACTTACCCGAGGACTGGAATCGCTCCAAAAGGAGACACCCTTCCTACCCAGGCTCATGTCAGAGTATTACCCAGAAGAGGAGAGAGACATGGCAAATCGGACATTCCCACCTAATGCAGTGCAGTGTGATCTGACATTGTCCATGGCCTCCATGGGGCCAGTGTGCTGCTGCCAGACCGCTCCCTGCCTGTAACGGGGTGGAAGGGGCTGGGGATGAAGCTGCCTTGCACTCCCACGGGAGCAGTTTCATCAGGAGGACATGCCCTTTCTCATATAGCACGCGGGATGCCTGCTGGGAGCACTGCATGAGGTGACTTTCTCTGCTGGGTGTCCGTGCATGGCCACCCCCACCTGCGTGGTTACCTCCATGTGTTGGCGTGCACTTAACGTGGCCCCTGCTAGGTGATGTGAGCCTGCCCACTGTGCCTCCTGTGGGCTGTACTGCTTCGCAGCTGGCAGTGTCCTCAGTCCACTGCTGCCAGGGAGGCTCTGCAGAGCTGGCGAAGGCTGGCATGGGCTGTGGGTGGATTTTTGGCAGCACTGCTTTCCAAACCAACGCTCCACCCCTCGCCGAACTGCCTACGCACTTGCATATTGCAACAACCCAGCTTAAGAGGGAGCAGTGTGATCTGGGGTCTGGCTCCTGTTGTCCTTCCTGACGTTAATACCTGCTAGATTTGGTCAAGCAGAGCTTGTTAAAATACAAACAGGAGCTCTTTGGGAAGCCTAGACAAGCCCACCTCAATCCAAAGCTGTAATGACTGGTTTTCACTAATGACTAGCTTAAGGCAGGGCCAAAAGCTCTCCCAGCTGCACCTCTCACGAGCAGTGACTCAGCACAGAGCCTGATTTTTCCCCTGCAGGGAGCGGAGGAAAGGCAGAAAAGCAGGATCAAGTATGTTGACAACAAACCACTCCTCCTGCCCCCCAGCGTATATTAACACCGAGGAAACTCACCTTTCTTTGGGGGAGAGGCCTTCAGAGAGTTTCCTGATCTAGCCATGGCTACCCCTGGTCCCATGCACCAAGTCTAGGTCTGTGTTACTTCCCATACTACTTTCCATATTACTTGAGCCTGATGGAAAGAGCAGAACAGGAGCTAAACCTTCACCAAGTTGTTCCCAGTGATCTCAGACCTCAGCGCACTCTTGTGTGGGATGGGGACTTTCCAGAGAGGTCCCAGCACATCTGCTGAGGCTTGCTACCCTACCAGGATGGAGTAGTGTCCCCTGGGTCCCTTCTGCACGAGTCCCAGCCCATATCTCACTACTGCCATCTCTGCAGCCCCATAAATATTCCCTCCCTCTCCTCAAGCACTGATAAAATCAGTCTGGAAGGCCTCCAGAATGACCTCAATCAGCCCTGAATTATTGCATAGGCTATTAAGGTGTGAACAAGCCAGTAAAATCAGCCCCATTCAGATCTCCTGAAGCACTGACACTTGCACCTCCTGAAGCACTGACACAAGCACCTTGACCTGACATGCTTGTAGATATTTGGATTACTGCCCTTTCTCCTGAAAATGTTACTTTATTTTTCCTACTGGCTGCATTTGTTACTGGAGAAATAATACATTTCTCTCATCTGTCCAAAGAAAGTAGAACAGCAATTAAAAAAAATCCATCTACAAAATTAAAATAAAAATAAAGAATTCTGAGTTGAAAAGCCAGGCTTACCCCATAGGTTTTAAAAATTATTTTATTTTCCTCTTGCAACAACAAAATCCCAGCAAAGGGAAGAGAGAAGAGGATATTACTTGAAAGCAACCACAAATTGAACTGTTGGACTGCTTTATCATTTGTGCTGCTGGTAGGTATCAAATCCCAGCAGGACTAGTGTAAGTTGGCCTGAGTAATGGTAGCAAATTTCCAACACATACGGGTTTTGTCTGCCCATAGAGCAGGGGAATATGACTTCTGTCTCGCTGAAAACCAGTGAACCAGAGCAAGAGTCACTGAACTAGTAGGAGAAAGTTCCTCTACCTCGTGGGCACTTGGGGTTCAAGGAATCATCTGAAGCTGTTTCTGATTGCAGTGGTAGCCTCAGGAAAACATAGAAGTTTTCAACTTGTTTGGGTTCTAAATTGGAAATTTTCAGAGATTTTAAAATATATGTATTCTGAAATGTCTTAAATTTTCTTGAGATTTTTTTTTTCCAAACTTCTGAATGTTTTGTTGTTATTTGAAACTATTCTTTGAACACAGTATTTTGAAACACATATGACCTTTCAGGAAACACCAAAGCCAAATTCTCTTTGTTTAGACAAAAGCCAAGTCACATCTATTCGACAGCAATCCTTACAAAGCCTCCTGCTCCTGAAGGGGCTTTCTGCAAAGAAAGCCACAACGGGAGCTGGTGCCAGGGCAAGAGAGTTAGGGGAGAGAAGGTCACCAAGCACCCTCCCTATTCATGGACTGCCAATGCCCACCATGCAAGCTGCCACCCACCAGTTGTGCTGCCAAGAGGTGCTCCCAGAAATACTCTTGGGTGGGTGCACAGCCTTGGTGGCACGGGGACCAAAGCTGCTTTGCCCCAGTGGCTCCACAGGCCCCAGTCTCCTTGGGCAGCGTTGAGAGCAGACCTCCTCCATAACAGGAGGCCTCCTGCCCAAAGCCTCTTTAAACACTCTTTCCTAAACTGCTTCATGCTATTTGCTCTTTAGCTGTCTGCTCTCTGGTCACATACGCAGACAAGTCTTGGCCTGTGTGCTCTCCACGGGATAGTGATCTCCTAAGGATAAGAGAAATCCTGAGCAGCAGAGGGTGCTGTGAAAGCATTTGTGAGGGAGATGATCAACATGGACTATCTGGATCCACGTGGTGTTGCGGAGGCCAGGCCTGGCTCAGAGAGGACATTTGGTGGTTCCCCACAGCCCTGAGGAGACGTGAGGGGTGGCTGGGTACTGCTTGCCCATGGCCACACGGGGCAGAAATTCTGCAGGGATGGAGCCTTCTCTGCCAGGAGGATGGGACAGGCCACTCTTGGTCCAACCCTGCACTTTGGTCACAACCCCATGCAACACTACAGGCTTGGGGCAGGGTGGCTGGAAAGCTGTGCAGAGGAAAAGGACCTGAGGGTGTTGGTCGATGCTCGCCTGAACGTGTGCCAGCAGTGTGCCCAGGTGGCCAAGAAGGCCAATGGCATCCTGGTTGTGTCAGGAATAGTGCAGCCAGCAGGACCAGGGAGGTGATCGTCCTCCTGTACTCTGCTCTGGTGAGGCAGCACCTTGAGTGCTCAGTTTTGGGCCCCTCACTACGAGAAGTATGTTGAGGCCCTGGAACGTGTCTGGAGAAGGGCTATGAAGCTGATGAACACAAGTCCTGTGAGGAGTGGCTGAGGGAGCTGGGGGTGTTTGGTCTGGAGAAGAGGAGGCTCAGGGGAGACCTCATTGCTCTCTCCAGCTACCTGAAAGAGAGGTGTGGGGAGCTGGGGGTTGGCCTCTTCTCACAGGTAACTAGTGACAGGGCTAGAGGGAATGGCCTCAAGTTTCACCAGGGGAGGTTCAGGTTGGGAATTAGGAGACATTTCTTAGAGAGAGGGATTAGGCATTGGAATGGGTTTCCCAGAGAGGTGGTGGTCACTGTCCCTGGGGGTGTTTAAGAAAAGGTTGGACCAGATGATCTTGGAGATCATTTTTTTTTAATGATTCTGTGATTCTCTGATTATTAACCGTAATGCCACCAGCTACACTTGTGCTGCTTCAGCTGGGTGGGTAGTATGCATTCACTGTGCTCATCACAATGTAGTTATGTTCTGCTGTTTTTTCAATAGCACTGAGCAGCAGTGGATGGGGAGGAGCATGGAGGCCTGTGCCCCAGCCTGCAGTCTGATGAGTTTGGGTATCACTTGGAAGCTCAGTAGAGGTGCAGCAGAGGTTTCTGTGGCAAGCAAGATCTTTATCTGCAAGGATATGGAGCCTGCCTAGCAGCCCTTATCTGTGCTAGACTTTCTGTTGCACAAAGATCTGCTGCTGCAAGACACTTTCTATTTTCTAAGATGAAGATGAGGGCTTGAAGCTGGAAAGTGAGATGTACTCTTTCAGTGACAGCAGCACAAAACACCATCACCATGTGCTGGAAGACTCTGCAAAGTCTTCATTTATGCTTCAGGCCCTCAGCAACGTGCTGCAGCTGTGAAGCTGGCCCTGGTGTGAGATGGGGTCAGTCCACAGACCTCTGGAGTCTGCTGCTACCCAGCACTGCCACTATGCCTTGGTTGACTCTGCATTTCTTCTCTTTGCAGCTGTGGAGGAGTGAGAGGGGAAGAAAGAAGCCCCTCTGTAGTTCCCTCCTTGTTTTCTTGCTAGTTATGTAGCTTATTTTTGCTCCTTTTGAAGAACATCAGGAGAGGCTTTTCTGTACTGTTGAGTTTAATTTAACAAAAAGCTCAAGTTCAGGCTTTTTCTGGTTTGTTAGCAGCAGAGTGTGAAGTCCGCTACTGGAAACAAACAAAAAACAACAAACAAACAAACAAACAAAAAATAGAGCACCTCTGTGTCTGGATTGCTGTCCTCCTTTGTCACCAGAGAGAGAAGCAAGGTTTTGTGCATTTCCATTGCTATATGGCTAACCCCCATCATCCACTCCCTCTGAAGCTATTTTGTAAAGCATTGCAGGATGGCAGCTGGGCAGAAACATGGCATTAACTTTAAGGACTGACTGATGCTTGGCTGCGGACTGGTGGAGCAACTTCCTGAGTGTCCTTAGGTCCCTCCATATTTTTCAGCATTTTCTTGGTGAGGGAAAGCACACCTTGACTTTGGCTTTGCTTTTGTTGATTAATGGCCATGCACATGCTGTTTGTCTGCTCACCATCCTCTGAGCCAAAAACTAGTCTTATTCTCCAATGATGTTCATAGTCTGCATCCTTTTATAGCTTGGTTTCACTATAAAACACAGGTCTGTCTTTATGTGAGGGGCAGCTCAAGGAGAAAGGGTTTCTGG